CACTGGAATCTACAATAATAAATGTATGTTGTAATCATTTTATTTATTAAAAGATTTTACAATTTTATAACAGTATAATAATAAGAAAAATACGTGAGTGGAACACTGAATGACATACTTTTCTGTTAAAGTTCACAGAACTGAGTACAGAACGAGTTGTAATATTGTGTATTTTCATAAATGACGATTTTGACAGTGTCACATATATATTTTTTACTTATTGTTGTAAGTTATATGTTAATATAGAAATTCTTCTTTCGTCTATTATTATAATTATACTAATGGCATAATTTACTAACGTGGTTTTTCTCGAATTAATTATTAATTATATGTAAAATTAGATAATAATCCACTCGTGTACCAAATACTGAAATTCGTTCAGTAGTTTAAGCGTGATTGAACAACAAACACACAAACATTTAAAATATTAGTAGGATCACAGTAAAATAAATTAAATTAAAATGTTTCAACGAATGTCCTGAACGACACGAATTTGTGGGCCTTGTGTTTAAGCCCATTCGTCTCAGTTACCGTGATTAGATGTGACCAGGCCGTGTCGTGCGTAACCAATCAATACGATAGTGTTGGCATGTCTACATTTGCTGATTGAAGGCGATAATTTCCTTTTTAATTTGATTCGAAGTAAGACATCGCTCATACTATCATATTAAAGTCTAGATTTAGTGGTCATTAACCTATTGAACGCCGAGTCGGACACTGTAGAATTTATTGTGGGTGTAATATTACACATACACCTCTTTAGTAATATTGATGTAGTATTTATGCTATTAAATATACCTACTTTAATGACTATATAAATTTAGTATAAAAGGCTATAGTGTCCAGAAGGTTAGATATTAGTGTAAACTGCTAAATACCTCATGAGCTTTATCATAGAAAAATTATTAGGCGTAAATTATTAAAAGATATATTTCTTATCTTTAAATAATTTACGCCTTATTTCTTCAGTTAGTTTATGTTCGTAATTTGCCATACTACCACCGTGTATACCTAGTAAAAGTGTGAGTTTAAAATACGGACAGTGTTATGTTCACAGCCCTTGAGCATTACAGAACAGGTCTTTTGTCCCCTATTATTTTCTGTCTGCGGTTTGATTACTATGACACACGTGCGTGGCCAAAGCAAATTCAGGCTTTCCTGTTGATCCTTTGTTGCCAGTAGGAGTTGGATCTTCGCACAGACAGCACATTGTTGTGATAATTTCATTTTAAAATATAATTTTGGGGTTATCAAAAAAAAAATGGATTTTCGACTAACAATTTTCTTTATCGTAGTAAGTAGTTTTAATTATTATTATTATTATAAATTTACACCTTTTCATTAGACATCACAGAATAGCGATTAATTTTTTTTTTAATTTAGTTTGATTCTTTCTACGTACATACACGCAAATAAAATAGCAGATGTTAGTTGGAATCTATATGTTAATGTTTTAATTTGTGAACTCGTTTTGCCTACTTATCTATAGTTTTTGGTAATCGTAATAAAATTATATTTTCGTAAGTAATGTTGTATGAAATAAAAAAAATATATTCACGACTGTAATATTTAATAATCAGAGACAAATATCGACTATTTAAATTGACATGAAGTACAACAGTTGCTGTTGGCTGAATTCGAACACCCGACCTATGAGGTCTACGAGTATATTGAGGCAGCGTACCACTAAACGACAATACTCTCTTGTTTGAAATAAATACAGAAAATTAATATAATGAATATTTAAATCAGATTGCAAACAGAGAAAGTAGATCGCAGAACAATTTTAATGTTTGTGAAACAATATTAATTAATAAACATAATTTCGTCCTGGCGTAATTATTCGTACCAGTTTCAATTGTAAATGAGTACATATGGGTATAATCAGGGTTTTAGTGTTAACTTAATTATCTAAGCATATTGTATTATCACAATCGATATCAAAACTACACCTCCCTCGTAAATTCCTCGTTAAAGATTAAATTTTTTTTTTATTAATTTATGTGCATTTTTATTTATATTTATTTATTTAATTGCATTATTCATATTACACGTATATTTTTTCATGATTGATATCGGTAGTACGTTTCTATAATCTACACATCTACTTATAATTATTAATTTGTTAAAGGTAGGTACTTAAAATATAGTTTGGTTCTCCAGCGGAAAAAAAGTATATTAAATAAAATTGTATACACAAAAAAAAAAATTGTGGAAAAAAGAGTTATGTTAATTTATGAACTAAATTAATGAATCGATTTTAATAAAATTTGTATGGGACTAATCTGTACGCATATCCTCTGATTTTCACACTCCGTTTACAGCTGAGGGAGTTATGAGGTAATAAACATAAAAAATACACCTCCTTTTTTTAAAGTCGTTTGGAAATACACATTTTCATATCGCTTACCTGATATGTTGTTTGCATTTCATAAATTTTAATGTTGTTGGAATTATTGTTCATTCCATTATTTATATTTTATACATACACAAGTTATACATATCACATCAAGCAAACCAATGTCATATTTTCTTTGTATCTAAGTTTCCAGTAAGTATTTACAGTTACCTATTTTCAAATGACTTCTGTAACAGAGTTTAGGCTATTATAAGATATAAAATATATTAAAAAAAAAGAAAAAAATAGCTTTCTTATGAACGCTCATTTTATATTTTTTAATTAAAATAGAATTAATTATGTTTCAATAATAGAATGTAAATTAAAACTTATGTACTATTGTTACTTATCGTAAGAGGCAACTAAGGAGAATTAATAATATAATAGGAATGCGCGGCAGCGTCCTTTTTAAAACATCATCAAAAGCCAAACTGCGGTTGCCAATTCGCCAACCAAGCGTGGTAATTACTGGCAAAATACCCCAATGATAAACTGCCATAAGGAATGGTTCTGTTTCTTATGGCAGTCTATGTTCAGCAGTGGACAGACAACGATATGATGATGATAATAACTTTAAAAAAACAATGATTTATTTTCAGTTCATCATTGTCGCTGCATCAGCTCTGCCCACCGAAAACACAAGCCACAGAGATAAGCGTGACGTCATGGAGTCAATGAAGAACGCCTGGAACGAAGTAGTCAAGACTCTGAGTGACGCTGGCGATGCCGTCGTCCACGTATTTAAGCCTACTGAGAAAAGTGTTATTGACAAAGTCGCGGATGGGGTCAAAGGCCTTACGCAATAACCTGTTTCTATGGATGTCTCCAGCTTACATTTGTACACCTAAGACTGCGTTTCAGAAAATACCTAAGTTATTGGAATATTTTTAAACTAAAAAAATATATTGAATTTAAAACTTAGGGTCCTATTTATAATTTCTACAGTATTCAATAATACGGTTGATATCTAAAATTGAATCTTGTTTTCAAAGAAACTAAGTATAATTTTGTTTTTAGTTTAAAATAATTCCTTCTTGTAGGAATGCATCGAAAAGTAATATTTTCACAGATTATGTTGCTTTGATTGTTACATTACCTTATTATACGCTTATCCGCACACTCAAGTGAAATTGCATCCATTCTGCTATTGAACCTTTAAGTGCATATTATACAGTTTTGAGTGTAATAAAATGTTGAGTAATAATTTATCAGTTTAACGAATAATAGAACGAATAATACGCCTATTCAATTATTGGCATTTATTTAAAATTGCATAATATGTGAAATGACAATGTTAAAATTTATCCATTTTCAAATTAGGTACAATTTTATATTGTTGTAATAGTTGATTGTCATCTATGCCTAATTGAGATTTGAATATTTAATAGGTTTTAGAACACGACATTTTAGTAAAATTAATAATTTTGACTATATGGAATAATTTAAATTATTCCAGATTATAAATTATTACATGATATATACCAGAGATAAAATATTTTTATCGCGTTAACGTAAAACATATCTTTAGACTTTCGAGCATCTTTGCCGAATTTTATAGAAATTTATTTAATTTGTAATTTTTTGCACATGTAATATTTAGTTTGTATTAAAATTATTATATTTTATTTAACGGTAAGGTAAAGACCATGAAATGCTATTTATCTTTAATCTGGCATACTTTATATGCATACATCTTTTCATATTTACTTGTTGATTTCTGACACTCAAATTGGCTTGAAGAGGACGCCCTCGACCGACTTGCCCAGTTAAATAATGCATAAATTCATGTAAATATCTGTAAATTATATTGAAGATATGTGTAGTTAAGTGAGTTAACCATCAATATGTTTCGTAAGATATTGTCTTGATGGACGAAGAAATAAGCAAAGACATAATAACAATTTCTATTAATTTTAAAAAATAACTTGACGGGTTAAAATAAAGAAAAAAATAATTATTTATTAATTTATAATCTAAATATCAATACTTATTAGATTCCAAAATGATGGAAATGGAATGAAAATTTATTCTCAACAATTGGTTAAGGTAAATACACAAAAAGTACTGTTGTTGATAATTTATAACAAGTTTATTTCATATTATCTTTATGTAAGCTATAATTCCCTAAGTTGAGATCAATCTAATAAGACTCTTTACTAAAACCTTTATTGAGCTGTAGTAATACTTACTGTATGTGACAAAGATAGACATATATATACCAATATATCTGCATATGTAAATATAAGTATAAATACATACACACCTGAGAGCATTATCTCATTAGCAGTCGAAAAATAACTGGGAGTTGAAAGATCTGGCATATCTGCGACTAAATGCAGCTCTAGCATTTAATTTACTGCGTTTGTTTATTAAGCTGTTTACAATCATATGATATGTACATATGATAATCTACTACCTTCCTTATAACTACTTAAACGACAAAGTGTACATTATGTTAGTATATTAGTAAGGATTCGTATTATATAAAAATATATTTTGATTCCATGTTTCAAGTTAGCCTGTGTTATTTATTTCAATAAATAAATAAATCTATTTCACTATTGGAAATATACAGGGAAAAGTTCAATAATAAAGAAATGGATAAATTAAAGATTTTTTAATTTAAATTAAGTTAAAAAACATATAAAATTATAATTGGAACTATTATTATTAACCTATCTAGAATATAATTAAAAAAAAATATTCCTTTACTATGACAATTATTATTTAAAATTGTTTAGAAACTCGGTTAAAAAGATCACAAAATTAATTAGCGTAAGGAAATGCATGTGAGTAAATCGAATAATTATTAATTATCAAAAAAGCATGGACATAAAATGTTATACTTCACTGTCGTATGGAGCACTGCTGTCTACTTGGTATATACCATCTTTATGATGCACGTCAGCACCCACAGAGTTCTCGTTAAATATCTCAACAAGTTTATCGGTGCCTACTTCCTTAACCGGCGGTGGACTCTCAGGGTAATCTGGCCTCTTTTTGTAACTGTCGTCTACATTTTTGTGTCGCGATGGAAGTATAAATATCCCAGCAGCAACCTCTTTCTTCTCAGTGTTATTTTCAGGCGTCTCAGACAACACTTGCTGTCGGTGTTGCAAATCGCATATATTGTACTGATAGTATTCTGCTTTAGGCCGTTCCTTCACGAACATACAGTACGCGATCCATGCAAGTACCAATGCTGCCTGTAATTGTAATCGTTTGTTAGGTTGACCTTTGAGCGTGATTTGTTAAACGCAAATGACATGAGACGAAATGTAAATATTCCATATGCAAATTCCATAAGCAAACTCACCAATACGACTGCACATATAAAACCAGCTATATCGGCGGCCATTTTTTATATTATATTATTTAATAACAGAATCGAAAGTCTGAGACGAGTGATGCAAACGAGGTTAGATTGGAACACTCACGACTCGCCATCGGTCCACTCGTCGCATTCAATTAGTGTCAGTTGTAACTCTTTTAGTCCATGATGTCATCGTCAATGATCGTATTCCCTTCAATGGATATAAGGAAATATATTTGTTAATACGTATCAAGATAATAAATAAGTAAATCAGCAAATACGTGTATATTTGCTGATCCTTTCGTCGATACTAAGTGTCTTATTGAATGAACATTTTCCGTTATGGAACCCGATAGTATTGGAATGTGTGGAGGAAGTATGGCGGCGCATATGTCATTAACTTGGATATGATGACAGTATAAAAAAATAATAAAAAAAAATATTTATGAGTATTATTAATATTAATTCAACATTAATATTGTATGAGTAATACGAGTAGGCATATTCGATCAACAATACCAACTAAAACGACGAGCAAATAACATCTTACAGAGTGGCGCCCTATTTTTAATCATTTATAATGACTCTACATTTCAATTTAAGATAAAATTACTAAATATTTTTAAAAAACTAAAACGTCCTACAAACCTATTTAAGTTTTGTCACTTTCTGTCAAATTAAGAAATTAACGCAAAAGAAAAGGGCAAATACTTCAATAGCTAAAATAGGTTATTAAGAAGTTTGACGTTCTTTTGGGTAAGGAATAGGAACCCCGGCTACGCTAACAGTATATGCTTCTTGGGGCACCAGTAAGGTATGATAGGTGAGAATAAAAAGGTAGATCATTTAGGTCATCATGTTCAATACAGTTGAAACTCAGTACGATGGTTTCCAGGGGGGACCACGTGGAGGTCGACCTGACATCGTATATTACTAGTAATGAGTGTATGTTAATAACTTCATCAACATGAACAAATTTTGATAATACTCGTGCTTTTTGCAGTCGATAGTGTGTTTATAACATACTCGTAATATTTGTTACGATTCAGTTAGTACTTTTCTTTTTGGAAAGTATATCTAATTTTTTTTTATTATAATTATATTGTTAATATTTAGTTAATTAACAATACCACATTTGACTTCGGTTTCATTTCGTTATCTAATTGGTATTGTTGATCAAATATGTGTGGCGTAGTATTTAAAAGGCAGAATAGCTGACGGCCCACGTGTTAAGCCGTTAATAAGTAGTAGTCGTCGCTTATAGACATGACCAATAACGACATTACAGAATGTAACTACTGTCATCAGTACAGTGTTAGAGTAGCGTGGGCTACTGTACTCTTCAGATAAAATATAACCTATTATTGATGTAGAGCTGCAATGTTGTTTCATATTATAAATAGGTAAGATGATTTTTTTTTTGATGGGTGAAAATGGTATGGTAACCCCGCCTGCGCTAACGGGATACGCTGGCGGAGCACCAGTGAAGGGTGATAGATGAGAATGAATACAGGCCAGTTAGCCCATCATGATGAATTCATCTGGAATTAACCACGATAGTTTCCAGGGGGAACCACAAGGAGGTCGACCTGGCTGGGTATATTGCTAGCAATGGGATTCTCAGTCTCCATTATTAACAATCCCTTTCCCCCCAGTAAGATGATATTAGGCACCATACTTTGGATATTGCATATAATAAGAGCGTGATCAAAGGTCACATAAACAGAGGCCCTACTATGAAACGTGTTCTGAAATTTCGGAGCCAAACGATGACGAACACAAATTTGATGTTAAAATTACATGATACATGCCGTTTAGAAATATTAAAAATGTTAAAATATTGTTCTTTTGGGTTTTTACGATAGGATGTAAGACGAACGAAATATTAAACTCCATTTATTGGTCCGATTTTGGTATAAACAAAAACACGACATAACACAGGGTAATACGAGAGAGAGAAAGAGAGAGTGAGACAGAATAAGGAGTAGTTATGCTGTAGAGTAGTAAGGTTACATACTACTCTACAGCATAGTCATTTAATTAAGGTTGATTATTTTTCAGTATTTTATACGGTATGGAATGGCAAACAAGTCGTATATCTAATATAAAACTGGTAATGGTTACTTAAAGACGTGAATAGCATGAATATTACCGAATACACTAATAAGTACTAAGGTGTCTGTATACCTAGTAATTTCACTGTCACAACCCATCCACAAAATAAAACACGGCCATAATGTCCTGAAAGAGATTATAGTACGAATAAGAGGTAACACCGGTGAGATCTACCTTGATTGATACCAATTTTTGTTACATTTTAAATTTCGTAGGTTTGCGCTGAAGATAGAGATCGTGAGCTTAATCCTGGCAGAAACAAAAAACATTGTGATCATAACATTTTTCATTATCTCTGTAAAAATATATAAAGAAATATACATATTAACGTAAACAGATTTACATATTTTCATTATTTTTTGTATTAGATTAATATCTAGTCATAAAGAAATTTTCAATATGTACTTAATGACGTTTCGTTAGTGATGTGAATATATCTATATCTCGTTTACATGTTTTGTTTCCAGCAATAGTAGTACTGCTTAGTTTAGCCAGACAACTCTATAAGGACATAAGGTCTCAGAGGAACATGTATTGAAATACTGGAGTTGTTTGATAACTACACATGTGCCGAGCATAGCAACTAAATGTTTATGGTAAAAAGTGATGAATACATTTTTATAGAACTGGTTTGTGTAGCCGTTATACGAATTTTTGTATTTAACATAAAGACATGTTCTTAGTACCAACTCTAAGTAGTCAATCTATGAGAGAATAAGGTACAAACAACAAAAGATTATTCACAACTGGGTTTGTAGTAGTGGCCACATCGGTCACTCGAATTTTATGTCAATCACTTCTGCCTTGACCTCATAACTATTATCAAAATAGATCAGTAATACTCATATAAAAGATTTGAACGGAAATGTTACTACTGACCGGATCGAAATGATTATGGTATAGAGTGTGACCGTAATCGACAATAATGGACCTGCACCATACAGTGCCTAAACTAGCACGGGTCACGGCTGGAATGGTAATCCCGTTTGAGCTATCTGTGTACTGATGACAGTGATGATAGGCGTGGATGAAGTTTAATTAACTTATCATGAAGAATTTGTCAGGAAGAATTTGTCAGGAATTGACCACGATGCAGAGGGATAGCGTGAAGACGAACTTGATAGAATATATTATTTGCAACGGGGTACCTTTGTAGTTATATTACTAACAGTGCCCTACTGTAAATTAATACATAAATTAAAATCTAAAGATGATACATCTCTACAGAATCACAAAATAAAAACGCACAAAAACAAAATGATACAAGTTTCAAAGAAAAATTAGGATATAAAAACTTCACTCATCTTTTCCATACTCACTACGTATTACCTATAATATTAATTACCTGTAAATGTAAGTTATCAAGAGTTCTATAAACGCGTAAAATGATCCCTGTGCAGTGTCCTCTTTATTACTTATAAGAGTGATACTCATCCCAGAATATGCACTTTCAGAAATAGTATCAAATAGCTGAACAAGAATATGCGACAAGTCTGACAACTACAAGTTGTGAGATTAATGAGTGACAACATTTGGGGGTTTTGCCAGTAGTTGTCACGCTTGACAGGCAGAGCGACAACTGCAGTTAGGCTTTGGAAATGTTCTAAGAGGGACGTTGCTGCCCATCCCTCGTCCTTCCTTAGTCGACTCTTACGATACCAACGGGAAAGGAAGGGGTGGCCTAATATATGCCGGGACCACAAAACAAGTGACGTAATTTTTGTAAATTAAAAAAAAAAATGTGATCTTGCGCTTTGGGAGCCTCGCCGCCTATATTCAATAGAGAGGAGGAGGTTCTCAGATATCAGAGCTACTCAACTACCAAAAAAAAAACAGTCCGCTCTCCATAAGGCTTAGTTATGATCTTGAGGTCATAATTCTTTTACTGGTTACGCATGGCCCTACATTCAAACAGGTCGATAACTTAAATATAGACAGCAAAAAATAAGCGTAAATGTCTCTACGTCATTAAATTAATCCTGCAATCTTTATCGTATATACCTATATAGTCTTATGACCTTTAAGATTGCCTTTTCTGATAATGAATTTAAATATGGTCCGCGATAATTATGTAAGTTGGGGGGAAAGGGATTGTTAATAATGCGGGCTCCCAGTTCTATTGCTAGCAATATACCGTATAAGGTCGGCCTCCACGTGGTCCCCCTGGAAACTATCATGCTGAATTCCAGGTGTATTCATTACGGTGGGCTAACTGACCTGCCTATTCATATTCAGCACAAGCGGGGTTACTATTTCATTACCATCTGTTAAAAATTAAAAAAAAAAACTATATATGGTTCGGCTACTGCAATGATAACAATTTTCTTACTTATCTTTTATAGGAATACAGTTGTGAACTTCTTTTGAAATTGCACACGGTGGATTTTTTTAGTAGAAAATTGCAAACTATTATTTAAAGAAAAAAAAAGGATTTGTCCGTTATCGTCTCTTTACATATATGAAACATGCTTGTTTGTCCGAAAACATTGAATTATTTGTAAGTAAATCCGCAAACAGAAGTAGAAAGTAGTAACCGTCGCCTATAGACATGAGCAGTACCATAGACATAACAGAGTATACTGTTTCGTCCATGATACCCTCCATGCGTTGCCATTCATGTTATATGAAAATTAACTACAGGTTGTATATCAACTTACAACTTAAAATCAGGCACTTGTTTTCAGATTAAATTCTTAATATAAGTATAAAAAAAAACATAAGAATTTATAGGACCTGATATGAGAGCTTTTTGTGCATTTGCGCAAGCAGTTACGTTCGAATGCCTTCTGATTTTAAAAGGCCTTCTTGTGGAATTCCCCATGACGTTACGAGAATTCTGTCAATGTGATTTAAATTTATTAATATTATTAATAAAGTAGTCTATGAATGAACGACTATGAAGTTTTTATACAGTAGACGTTATTTATAGTAATTATTTCAATTTGATCAGTAATATTAAACAAATGTATAAGTTTATTTAATTACTAGCTTTTATCTGCGACTTTGTATACGTGGATTTTGGAAGTAGGTAAAAACTTCTGGATAATGTTTCAATATAAAATGTTTACGTTTTAAATTAGACCTTCAGGAATAAGACAGTGAAAGTAGTATTCAATATAGATAGATAGATAGATTTATTGTTTCCTACAAAAGATTACAATAGTAAACTTATGATAAATATAAACAATTACAAGAAATAATCACAATGAGAAAACAATGGGCGACCTTATCGCTTAAAGCGATCTCTTCTAGGCAACCTTTGGATGGAGAGGAGTAATTATGAACAGTTTGATTTACTACAATTTAGTTGAATTTAGTACAGTAGTTTTGGCTTTTATTGTTCTTATCTAAACCTTTCATGTCAATTTAACTCAAATATCTTCTATGTACAGACATCGTTTAGTTACAATTTTATTATAAGTAGGTATTGGTAAGACATTGTTCGAAGCGGCATCTTCTATTTGCCATATTTTTTCTTTGACTTAATTTTAATATAACTATTCACGTTTCGTAGCGTCTTCTCTGATAGTGCCTATGGATATAACTATTACACTATTTTTTTTATTATAGCGTTTGCCATAAATAGAGATGTATATTTTGAAATCCAAAAATTATTAGCATAGAAAAAATTGTTATTTATTTATTTATTTAGTTATTATACGGCCGCCACTCAACGTGGTTATTTTATGGAAATTAAATTGATTAAAGTGCTAGTATTCCGTAGTAACTGTTGTATTACAAATTACAACGTCAAAATAAAAAAATCTTATAATTTAAATAAAACATGTGTACGTAAATGATAAAGTAAAAAGCTCGACTTTAGATTAAAAAAGTTTTACTGTTGTATATAGCTATATAACTATTTAAATCACGGGAATAAATTGTTCTATATATTTAAACTATTGTAAAATCCTATGAGTCTATTTTTTATTTTAAATTTGTTCATTTATTTAGTGTTATCGTAAATATTTCTGATTATTGTTCAGTCTATATTTTTTCAACTGGAAAAGAGTAACCTCTTAAATTGCTCTTTCCTCTACCGTATCATCGTATATCGTATCATATTCCGTTTTCACGCTATTCTCTTAATTTGTTATTTTACTCATATCAGCTACAAGTATCGATTTTTAAGATCAAATTTAGATAAGTCCTGATATCGAAACTTAGATAAAGATCTAGTTTAGTTTGTATCAAAATAGGCTCCGTTTAGTATTTTTTACTATTTCCTATTCGACCGTCCACGCACATTTGGAAAAGTCACCCGGCGCCTTTTTGACATGTTATAATTAGGTGAGTCTCAATCAATCATGGTCTTCAAAGCCTTTGGGAAAAGGGTTGATAAGGGCCTCTGGGAATTCTCCTTTATCTTTGTTTTAACTCCCTGGGGTAACTACCTCTGGGTCACAGGATCTAAGCGCATTCGTCCTTATCGCGTGGCGTGATTAGGTGAATCTAAAAATGTTTTTTTCTTTTCATATTTAAAATACGAACGGATGGTACTGGGCAAAATATCCAGTAATTTATTTGTCTTATTTAGAATACGTGTACTGGAAGTTTATTTGAATCTACAACAACGATTACATTTAAATCAAATCGCAAAAAATCTCAATATGTGTGTGCGTGTATAATTTTAGAAACGTATCTAATATCATTATTTGACTCCGAGGTCAATGTTTAAATTCATTTCTTGATATTATTACGAATAATAGAAATAATACATGCTTCTTAATTAATAAATAACGTTTTATTAACAAATTTATTTATATATAAGTTTAAGGTTTAATATTGTATTAAGTAAACTTAATACAATATTTTCGTAATAGTAATTATAATTTAAAACGTTTTTATGAAATCATACTCAGTATTAATAAGGTTTTTTTTTCTATTCGCCATCCCGCGTTTGCGCCGCTGAAACAAAAATGATAATAAATTTTTTAATAGGACTTATTAAGTCATATGTTACTCAGTGTGATCAGTTAGGTAGGGATGTACTATTTTTCTATTATGAAGCAGAAAAGCTTCTTGTAGTGTTTCAGTCAGAAAGGTAAGACATCCTGATACTAGAACTAAACCATTTTTTTTTATGCAATATATAATGGCAAATAAACTGACGGTTCACTTGATGGACGTGGTAACCATCGCCTATAGACATGAAGAGAACCATGCATATTACAGAATACCTATTCTGTGACATCCATGTTGTACCGTGTTGTCATGTTATTACATCCATAGTCTGTAATTTTATTGCCATATCTCGTTATTACAAGGAATCATAAATGATTTTATATTTTATTACGGCTCCCACTTTACATCAGGTGGGCGGTCAGTTGACTAAGTCATAATTACCAATAGTAAGTAGTATAAAATATATTTTTATATTCTTTTATATATAATAATAATATTTTTAAAAATTTGTGATTTATTTTACACACAATAAAATGTTATTTTCAATAGATTCAAAATAATAAACTTACGTCGGGCGCCGTCAACGATGTTCACTGAAAATAAAGAATAAATTATATATATTAAATAAAATATTATTTATTCTAATCTATTCTACTTTTATAATAAAAATCTTTTATCGAATAATCATACTTAAAATATTTGTAAATTGTATAAAATTATTTTAAAAATCTTACGAATTGCAATTTATCGTTGTCGTCGTATGTTATCAAAATTTTAAGCATTTTATTACTATTTTAAACCTTATTAAAATGTTTTTTACATTAAAGAGTTCTCGAAATTCGTTTCATGATTACAGTTGCAATTATAATTTTTTTTATTATCAGTATACCTACCTTACACTAGGATAATTGTAAAATAGATTTCGTAATGACAATATTAAAAAGAAATTCTTAAGACAATTCAATTCAATTTTCAAATTTCAATTTTGTTTCGTTTCGTTTTGATTCGTAGCAATTCTATAAATATCTAAGTTACTTTATGATCACTATATTATAAAAATTAGAAAACAAGATGGACTTTGAACGTATTGGGAATTGAACTCTTGAATTGGCCTTATGTCAAGATCTAACCGGTACTGAAACCACTAATATGGTTATCAGAGCTAATAAACTGTTTTATAATAAAGGTCATATCGATCAATTTTCCTGTTGATCTAGGAAAATCACTATGTAAAGTATTACAACGTATAAATACCTTGGCTGTCCCCATCGACCACTTGAACTGTAACAAATAAAACCAAGTATTTGTTAATTAAAATGTTCTTATTAGAAACCTTTATTGTATAATGGCAGAACTACTCATATATCATAGATAAATAAATTATACTGTTTTCTTGTATCTAATTATACTACAATTAGAATAAAAATATTCCTAATTTTATATCGAATTTAATTTAAGCTAGTCAATAAATAATTTATTCGGATACGCAACTTATTAATATTTTTCTGACTGAATGGCAACAAAATTTTATTCTTTTAGTTCTAATTAAATGATTTAAGTAACCTCAAGCTTTAGGTAGTTATATTAATAAAGTTATTTAAAGACTAAGTTGATACAGTTAACGTTTACATTATACATATTAATTTTACGGGGAAGAAAAGAAAGATAAAAAACTGTCTGGCGATTCATTCCTGGATTTACATAGAATGTGATGAACATTCTATGTAAATCTAGGAATGAACATAATATACTAAGTAAGTCTTCGTTATTGTATCTATTCGTGATCTATGTTAAACACATACAAAGGCGTATGGGAGAAATACAACCTTCATAGATTATCATGTAGGGAGTAACGGTCCTGAGTTCTTGTAGATATCAAATTAATTCTCTCAACTTATTTGAGGCCATAGCTTCATTTTATCTCTTTCTAATATATTAAGACTTTGGAATGTATTTGTTTGTACTTAAAATCTAATGATACCCCAAACTCTTCTTTTATATTTCATTTGAATAACCGAAATAAATAATGTATAATCTTCACTCGTTTTTATAGAGTAGACAGATAAGATTAAAATAATGGATAATTACAATATATTTAGTTATGTAAATTGATAGGTATTTACCTGGGTCAGGTGCTCCGCCCACTACATTTACTGAAACATAAATAAAATAAATTTAGCGATAACGACTATTAAATTCGCCCGGATGTAGAATTACAAATAGTTATATATACTTATAAAAAAAGTTGGAATTTATAAATACGTGTTCCACAAAAACTGGATTTATCGTAGGGTACAAACTGATTAAGATATAATTTGAAAATATAAACATATTAATGAATACAAGTGGTTGTATAGCATGGAAATCGAACCCACGACCATCGTATAGTGAGGCAGTGTAGTGTTAAACCGCTTTAACACTAAAGTTGCCTTAACCAACTTAACGTAGGTAAAAAAAGGTTAACGTAGATGAAGTGTTCTAAACAGGTAAATAATATTTAATTATAATATTACCTGGGCCAGGAGTAACGCCTTCCACAACGTTAACTGAAAAATATTGACAGAAATACATTTATATCATAAGTGGATGGATGTTTATAACTCTTTTAGGCAAAAATTACTAAATAGATTTGAATGAAATCCGGTAGAGGGATAGGTTATATCCTAATTTAGCATATAGGATGCTTTATATATTGATTCATGTGGATGAAGCCACGGGATACAACTAGTTTTTTAAAAAAAGGTAGTTACATTATTTTTTAAAAGGTTAGGCAAAGCGAAAGGTACCTACAGAGCATAGTCTGACATCTAACATTTTTTTTTTTGTACTAACTATCGGCAAATTCTACAACACCCAAGTTTTTTCATCTTTATAAGTTAGAACATACTTGTATTATTTTCATAGGTTTATATTTAACTATATTTTATATTCTATCGGTTTTGTTGTATTAAGGCATTATTTAAGGTGTAACTTTTATATTATTTACATTGTAATATACATTTATAATTAATACACACTTACATGAGCCCATATGTGTGTACAATTAATACACACACATGTACGTGTCTGTTCTTATTTATATAAATAAATTTTAAACTCCACTAAGTGTCAACAATCTCCAGCTTCCAACTTTTTTAAGTGGCAAATAAGCTTATGGCCCATCTGATATTAAGAGGTTAGTTTCTTTCGTTTTCAGGGTCGGCGTTATTAAAACTTGCATAGGGGCACCAAATAGCCTAAGGTTGACCCTGACACTGACTTTATATAAAGATTACATCAATTTCTATAAATAAAATGAAATATAAAATATCTATAATTAGAATATACTTAATTTATTCATGTTGTTACGTCAACAAATGGATTTTTTTGCTTACCTTGTGGTTTAGCAGCAGTTATTGTGAACAGAGCCACTAGAGCGAAGACAAGCTAAAAATAATTAGATATATTAATAAAAATTAACCATTCTTTCCGTGTTCACACATGCCTAATTTATTTTACCTAATATCTAGGAACTAAACAGTTATATTATTATATTCGGTTTCAAGGACAGTCGAATAGGTAGTTCTAGATTATATCATTTAAACAAGAAATCACTATGTTATTTAAGATTCACAAATGTTAATTATGATTTTATATTAATATATACAAGCATCAACCTAATATACTAGTTAGAGTCAGACCGTTAAAACAACTTTTTTATATAATACTAAACTATTGTACTAATATATGTGAAAGCGTTTAAAGATGTTTAGATATTTAAGCTCTTTTAAACAACTGGATGGATATAAACTGAATTTGATAAAAAAAATAAGTAATAACTTAGATTAACTACTTAAAAAAATTACTACTTTTTATCCTGATTACCGTAACCGCAGAATAAAAAACAAAAATTAAATGTGAAAATGCTTAAATACGAAAAGAAATTATATTAAATTTGACACACAGAAATAATGTTAACACACACACACACACACACACACACACATTTAATTTATATATATATATATATATATATATATATATATATATATATATATATATATATGTAATTTGTTTTTTACAATACAGTAAAAAATAACCAACAAATAATGCATGAAGATTAAATATTGTGTATAAAACAAGGAAATGGTCGGATTAGTAAAATAAAAAGCATATTACAATAACCATACATACCATTAACTTAGTCATGGTTGTGTTAATGAAGACTCACTTAAGAAATCGTTAAGACTGAATAGTTGAACGACAATTAAGATCTTTTATACCGAGATAATATTGACATAGCGGTAACAAGAGAGATAACCCCCAGTCTGTGGCCAAATCTTTATTTTGTGTGTATATTTTATAAGAAAGTCGTTTCATACTTGTACTGTAATTGTACAATGAGAATTTAGCAGAAAATGGATAAATATTTGTAATAGAGTATTATTTTTATAAATATATTTTATATTTAGTAATATTAATTTTTAATTTTATCAAAAAAGTTTATGGCTTGGTATTAAAAACTTTTGTTTTTAATTATATTTTATTTAGTTGTATAAAATTAGTATAAAACATATATTCATAAGAAAGAAAATTAATTCAAAAGTAAAATAATTATGAATAAATTATAATATATACTATAGATTACGGTTATAAAAAAATGTCGAGGTTACTTAGCTAACACTTCTTTTTTGCGCTAGTTTTTTTAAATCAGACTATATTTAAGTTACGCGTATAATATGTTTAAAATTGTTGTTTATGACAGTGTTTGAATAAATTTGTACCTATTTGTATCTTTCTAGAATGTTGTCGATACTTCAAACGTCTGAATTAGAATTTATGTATCTTAAACCGTCACCTATGGATACAAACAATACTACATACATTACAAAGTACATTTTGATGCTCGTGCTTATAGAAACCACATTAATAGGTGTAGATTTTTTAATAAAAACGTCATTATATCAGCGGTCATCGGTCCCCTACTGAACATAAGCCTCCCCCATAGACCGCTAAAAGGAAAGATCCCGATCTATTGATTCTAATAAAACCATATACATAAGTCATAAATTATAATTTTAGGGTTACATCAAGCGATATAAGGATACTCTGACCCATGGGGCTCTTGTACAAAATTCTAAGTACACAGTTTAAATTTGCACCTCTGGCTATTGCTCTCACCATTAAGCTATTACTTCTGTATATACTCCCTGCGAATTTGTCAATCACAATTTAATACCACTTGACATCACTCGGGGACTTGTTTATCGAGGACGTCCTTGATCTGTAGGAAATTATTGAATGAGTCACGGTAACCTGCAATAATAAAAAAAGTACTCTGTATCAACAATTACGATGAATATGGTGTCCTTATTTAAAGGTCGGATTCATTATGGTGGTTCTAGGTAAGAATCTGTATATCGTAGTGTCTTCAAATTTTTACTTTATACCCATTATATTATGTTTGGTTATCTATATTATTTGTGGATGAACTATCTGCTTGCTTTATAATTTTGTGGCATAGAAAAACATCAAAATTAAATAATATAGTATAATCTTAGTACATTATATTATATTACGTCTATACTTTATACTATACTGTGTAAAGTACCAAATATATCACAGAAAAGGTCCCGCAATTTTTATAGTAACCTAAGATATTACCGCTTATTTCTATTTTCTATAAGGAAAGATAATTATTAGAGAAATGGTTACAAGATTGCAGCTAATTGATAGCAGGAAATCTGTGTGCATTCTATTATATTTATACTTATCATTCATTTAAACCAAGTTTAATAAAAAAGTTAGTTACAAAAGTCAGCGGCGGGATCACAGGCTTTATTGAAAGTTCGAATGTTCGGTCTCTTGTTAGGGCGTATGAAAATTTGATTGTATATTTATGATGGATGAAAACTCTTTTAGATTTAAACTCGCCTTTGTACATTTTCTTACCTCTGTCATATTTTTATATATTAATAGTGTGTACAATAAAGTATAAATAAATAAATAATATAATTGTTTGTGCGTTAAAAGTCACATAAAAGTGCAACCAATAATAAGATTTATTTCAATTGTAAAAGCGTGTTATTATTTAAAGAAGTTAGATTTTTGTCGAAATCATTATAGGTAATTAGTATTGATTAATACAGAATGGTCACTGCTTGCTTCTTTCTGGAGCTGATCTTACCTCTGTAACTAAAAAGTTACCGTTCAATAAACTAATGCACCGTGTTCTATAAGTACACACAAACATTACGCGAATACAGACGTCATCTACTTATGTAGCAATGAGAGCCATGGATTATGTTGTTTTTATAAAGTGTCTTGTCCTTTAATTGCATGCTTCGAACTTAGTTTGCGATAGTAAAAAGTTGTTGAATATTTGTTGTTTATCTTAATTTTTGACAAGAATAACTTATTTTTATGGTATTACCTAAACAGGATTAGTGAGTAGGTAGTTGTAAATATTAGTGCTGTAACTGCAGTTCGGTTTAGGAACTAAAATTATTATTATGGATTAGTTCTGTCTATTGATCACTAGCGGTGCTATTTGTCAGACGAAAGTGCATCTAGCGCATCTAGCTGTTAAGATGGAATAGTTTTTGTTAATTGCTAATCAGCCTAAGGTTGATTAGCAATTACCAAAAATCACCTTAAGTTGTCATTATAACTTATATTCAGATTCTTTTATATTTTCGCCACAAAGTACGATTCTTTGTCACTTTTATCCAGCGACTCACAGCAACACTTACGATCATCTTTCCATCTCACAAGAGGTCGCCTAAACTACGCTTAGCGTGCATGGGGTCGCCATTTAAGAAACTTTCCACATCGATAATCGGTTATGGTATCACTGAAATGTAAAGAATTAGCATGTTCATTTAATATAAATTGTGGAGTAATTGGAAAAATAAATAACATATAGGCAGATACTCAGTATGTTTATGTAAGTAAATTCTTTTATTCACTGGTTTCATTGTCACAATAATAATATATGCGTTGTTGCATTTTATATTCATAATAATTGAGATGTGTTGTTTCTAAAGGTTTCCACGCACTAGAATATAAATAGTAGTCTATTTCGAGGACGAAGTGGCGTTTTAATTCTTTTATTAGTTTTAGTATTTGAAATATCACGTCATCGATCTGTGAGTATATATATCAAATTTATTTATTCTAACTTCACACTATAACAATAAACTAATATATGAAACCTATAAATGCGAGTTTAATCGATGTATTTATATTTTATGCAAGTTTTTGTACGTCTACACATAATGTAAGTATTAATATTTTCAATATTTAATAAATAGATTTTAAGTTCAAGGATAAAATCATTAAAACATGACGGTGCTATCAAAATATATAAGCCAATAGATAAAGTATCTTAAGTATGCTAAGTTAGGATGTAACCTATTTGTGTACCAAATTTTATTTAAATCTGTTCAGTACTTTTTCTGTAAAAGAGTAACAAATGTTCCATGCATTCTTTCATCTATCCATGCATCCATTTTTATAAACTTTCGCATCTATAACATACTCATATGGGTATGTAGCTTGTGACATGGTCAGCGTGAAGAAGTTATATAAATTATGTCCTTCATCCTCGATATTTCATGGACACCAAATTTTATGATAATTGGTAGAAAATAATAGTTAAAACACCAAGAGATAACAAAATTAGAATTTCCTATGCCTGTTTTATTTGGATTAAAGTAGCTTTTTAGTGAAGTAAAATTTTAAAAGAAATTTTAAGAAAAATAGCTATCACTCTAGTCACATAGAGCCTTTATTCAATAAAATTATTTGTTTTGCACGGCACGAGTAGACATTGGTCGATGAAGCTGTTCTTATTAGGGTTCCGTATTGAAAAGAAATAAAAAACAATAGCTAAGTATGAGAGAGATTGACTATTTGCCTATTAATTTATTTATTTATTAGTAAAATAATTTAATATTACGTTTTAAAAATTTGTCATAGTTAAGTAACAAGTTTTTTTTTTAAATAACTAGTACCATTTATTAAAAGAATATAGTAAATTATAGAACATTAAAAATATTATTAGACCAATCTATTCTGAAGCAAACCATTTTAATATAATAGAAAAAATAGACCCATTAAACTTTTTTAATAAAACAAATAATTTAGGACTGTGCTCTACAAAAAAAAATGAGCTCCAATTGTATCAATTTTATTTTGATTTAAAACTTATCTACTGAAACGACTTTGATAAAATATCTATAGAACCAATTTGTGAGTATATTTTTTCAGACAAAAAAGAATTTTCTAAATTGATTTATAATTGACGGAAATATGAGGCAACAAACACAAAAAAAAAAAAGAAAATACAACCGCATATGAGATACCGAAGATATAGAAATTTTATTGTTTAATTTTTGCATCATTTTTCTATGCATTATTACAAAAAAAAAATAATAATAAGAAATATTGAGAAATATTAAGAAATAGGTCGGTATATGCTTTTTTTATTTCCTCACTTTTACATTACAGTTACATATAATCATTGTTTCCCATGACGGTGTTGATACGGAATCCTCAACGCGCGCGCCGAGTCATCGCTTGACCGGTTTTATTTACGTACGTTAGCTGGATCAGGGGAAAATTTCCTGTTTAAAATCTGTATATAAGATTGCCAGGTGAGATAATAGCACAGTGTTTATAGTGACGGTGCATGAATAACTTCGAAATAACGTAAGTCGACATTTTACTTTTATTTACGTTATTTGTATAAAGCTGTTGCTAAAAATAACAGGTAGGTACAATATTTAATTTTGTTAATTAATATTTATTTTTCGTTAGTACAATTGTTAAAAATATAGATTATTTTAAAATAGTTACATGCCGATTTAAATGTTTACACATGTTAAAGAAGATTCAAGAAATTTTATATTTTTCTTATTTAAAATAAAAAAAAGTTTATAAATAAATCCAAAAAAAAAAATAATTATAAAAATAAATAGAATGCAAAATACAATATCATCCAATATATTTAATATTTTATTTTTATTTTATTTTATTTATTAGGCGCACATAACAGAAGTTTACAAATAAAAACTTAAATTATAATATGCAAGTACATAACGGGTATCAGGTAAACTTGCCACAACATGTGCACACAGCATGATCCAATAATAAATGCGACTGCAACAAAGCTATTAGGTTGCAACAATTAGTGAAAAATTTAAACATAAAAATAAACATAAACATAAAGAAAGTTAAATAAAAAAACCAAAACAAAATTATTTAAGAGATTTCTAAATATTACATTATTTTATATAATTGTCTGCGAAATTGATAATAACTGAGCCCAAATATGTCAAGGTCACTTTGATGAGCGTCATTATACGATTTACACATATTGGCTATGGGGTTATTTAGAGAAATATTGTTTCTATAAAAAGGCACAGTGAAAGTCCGTTTAAGACGAATTCGGCCATTCGTATTAATATTAATTAGTTCTAACAGTTGGGGACAATCCACAATTGAGTTTATAATCTTATATAGGTACAGTAAATCTTTTATTTTTCTTCTTTTAGTTAAAGATAATATTTTAATCTATTTTCATAGTCTCTAAATTTTCTTTTAAATCTATACCTATAGGAAATTGATTTTAGAAATCTTTTTTGTACTCTCTCAAGATTATCTTGATGTACCTTATAGTAAGGAGACCAAACTATTGATGCATATTCAACTATAGGGCGAACCAATGCAGAATATAGAAAACACGGACTATGAGGATTTTTAAATTGCTTGGTTATGCGTAGTATAAAACCAGTTAGTTGGTTACATCTATTTATCATATATTGATAATGAGATCGAAAAATCAGCTCTGAGTCAAACAAAACTCCTAGATCCGTGGCAATATCTTTATGTTCAAGTATGTGGTTGCCGATACTGTAACTAAACAAGTGATTGGGAGTCCTAGAAAAAAATGAAATAACGAAACACTTGCCTACATTCAGAAACATATGATTCCTAATACACCACTCCTGTATAATGTCAATATCTTGTTGTAGCTGTTTACAATCATTAACATTCGAGATAGAACGATACATTTTCAAATCGTCAGCGTACAGTAAACACTTACTATTGTACTTAATATAATTAATTAATACATTAAAATAATATACAGTGGTTCTTTATATCTATTCTAAATAATAGTAGTACTTGCAACTTAACTGCTTAACCAGTTGTTATAAAATTTATTATACACGTAGTACTTTAAACGAAAAAGACATAAGTTAATGTTGTATCTCGGCCAATCAAGATTGTCCTACGAAGTTGAGGGTAAAAACTAGTATTTACCAGAGGGAGACTTTGTACAAAAGTCGATTGCTTGGGTACCTCTGTCCCATTCGTGTTTCAACCGTGAAGCAGTTGTGTTTGCATGGCAGTGTTTCGGTTTGAAGGGTGGGATATAGCGTGAATTTACTGGGTACAGAGGAATAACACTTGAGTCCTCAGGAATAGTAACGCATGGGGGGTGTATCATGGGCGAAACAGTATACTCTGTTATGTCCATGGTACTGCTCATGTCTATAGGCGACGGTTACCACTTTCCATCAGGTGGGCCGTCAGCTTGTTTGCCTTTCTAAGTTGCATAATAAAAATTACATATTTTTTAATAAGGTGTAACGACAACCGCCCAGTATTCTTGAAGACTCTAACATCATAGTATTTTGATAGGTACTAAACTGTTAGTTCCGGTCTATTCCAACTGTTGTCACTAGATAACAGCAATTAAGTTTTCGACTGAGTTGATAGTGAGGTGAAGGTTTTATAGGGACTACGAATTATATGGCCAGTATCAATAAACTTTAATGAGAATGTAAACATACGAGTAATTGACCGGACCATAAGATAGTCTGCTGGTGTTCAATCAAAAACGATTCAATTGGTTAATTTTAAACTTTTGCCTTATTATTGTATAGTATCCATACTGTTATTGTATCCATTGTATATTCTTTAGTCTAGTGTATGTAATAAATTATACGTACATTATTCTTAACACAGTGTATAATTATATTTATATCTATCATAATATTTATAAGCTAGTATTAAGTTGTCAAATGTTTGTTTGACGTAGTTAAACATAAATTGCAAATTAAATATTTATTACGCCGTCCAATATTTCTGTGTGTTGAATATTATAAGGAGACGTGCATTGACAATCAATTAGCTTACTATTGTTAATAACTAAAGATCACAATCAATTCGTTCTGAAATATATAATAAAAGAGCCGAAAAGTGGTAGACGCTAAACAGTATTTAAATGTTTGAAGATGTATTAGAAGACCTAAAACAAATTAGTCGTTCACGCAAATTTTTGATAATTCTATAAATAGGTATAAATAATTTGCTACAATTAGGGAACAGTTTTTGGCTTACACCGAATAAATGGACTTGGTAGAGGGTAAAACGTTTGTTGGAGCAGCTAGCAGAAATATTAAATATAACATTGAAATAGGAATAAATAAAATAAAAAAAAAAATGTGACGAAGTTACAACAAAAATTTTCGAGTTAAACATACAAAATCGACTATGAATTATATTTATAAATAATATAAGATAGGCACTTTTAATTCAGAGCCGCACATTCCAAAATTAAGGTGAAAACAAAAAGTCTCGTATGTTAAAATCCAATTAACAATTTAGGCAACGAATTCCGATTACAATAGCTACTTAACTAGCGTACTACTAATAATAGTCGTATTTCTTTCTTTAGCAGTCGAGTAAAATGAAATAAAATTAAAAAATATAATTTTCTATTGCTTTCAGAATGAAGACAGCATTTGCTCTATGCGTATTGGTAGCGGTGGCAGTTTGCAACGCACAAGACACGTACAACCCGCAGTTCGACAACTTCAATGCTGAAGAGGTTGCGGGAAATATCCGCCTTTTGAAAAATTATGGAAAATGCTTCCTAGATCAGGGGCCTTGCACTGCTGAGGGATCAGACTTTAAGAGTAAGTATATACTTCTGTTATTAAACCTGTTATATATAAACGACGTGACATCTTTATAAGCTAATGAAAATCAAGGAATATTACACGTCTGTAAACATTTTTTACTACATTTTTAAAGTAACAGTGAAGCGGCAGAGGAGACAAATGCCTTCGCGTCTTATATTTTAATAACTTTTAGGATAGGTATAAAGCTGATGGCTTTTAGATAAAAAGTGTTAATCATTGTTTACAGAAATAAATAATTATCATGAATATCGGAGATTTATACAATCCTTGACATATCAAATACAGAGGATTTAAGGTTATGCTTCTTTCATTGGTTATTTTATTTATGCAATTTTAAATGACAAACAAATTGACGACTCTCCTGACGATAACTAGTAACTGTCGCTTATTGTCATGACTGTGATTATCTCTTAGGGCATTCACAGACTACATTGTATCGTCTATACTTCCTGTGACAACATATTAATTGAATACTACTTACAGTTCTAAAAAGCAGATAATATTTTACATGTAGTTGTTAATATTACTAAATATTTATTATTAAATATTTAGTATAGTATTTATGTAAACAATTATAATTATATACTTCAATTCTCTCAACAGGGGTCATACCAGAGGCACTACAAACTACATGCGGCAAATGTACGCCTAAACAACGAGTATTGATACGCACCGTAGTTAACGCCTTCAAAACAAAACTACCTGACATTTGGGAGGCTCTAGTTCAAAAACATGATCCCCAAGGTATATACAAAGCTAGCTTTGATGAATTCCTCAGTTCACAAGACTAGAAGATTACCTATTGAAACTTTACATTTAAGGAACTGGTTACACACCAGGGCTGTGCAATGTATGTTTAAAAAATATTAGGTCAATTGGCTGTCATGAAACAGTTGTTATTGTCTTCTTACAAAGAGACTGTTTTTGTTATTAAAAATATTTGATTGCAGTAAATATAATAATAAATAGTATAACCTATTCCTATTCCTACGAAATTTAACTTTTTTTATAGGCAATAAATATAATGACAAATCACTTTACTTGCGACTGGTAATCAATCAAACCACAAAAATTGTGACATTTCAAAGTATTTGGAAGTTAATTATTTGTTTGTGAATAGTTTTTTTTTTTTTCAATACGCCGTTAGTATTCTAGTATAATTCGTGTAATCACGTTTTGGCTTAACATCATATCTAATTATATTAATTTTTTAACATCTGGTTTACATGTAATTATTTATTATTAAACATTATGAATGCTGTATTTTGTTTTCATTTATCTATTATCATTCCTAAGAGGTCTCACAATGATAACCCCGAGTTATTAGGTATATCTACAAATATACGATTTCGTAGACATCTAAAATAATAGTACTTTTTATACTTTAAAAGGAGGGTAATTAAATTTATACCATTTGAAGATATTGTACCTCAGATATGTACATAAATGTGTGTACATTGTTCTTAAAAATAAAGTGAAGATACACACCATGATAATTTGACTAACTTCGACTGCAAATAATACAAAGAATATAACTTTACATAAGTTGTTCTGTCGAAGACGAACCTTGTATTTCATATACCTACACTTGCTCATATTTGTATGTTGATTTAAATAATTATTTTCCTTATTTTTCTCTAAATGTCATTGTCCATTTATCATTTACATTACATTTTACAACAATTCTGTATATTTATCACAAATATAATAATAACATAACCATATAAAGAATTATAAATATCATTTACGCTTAGACGTCTGAATGGATTGGAATGAAAATTGGTAAACAGATTTGACATATCTTAGATTATTCTTATACCACTGAGGTAGCAAACAAGCATACGGCCCACCTGATGGTATGCAGTTACTGTAGCCTATAGATGCCTGCAATACCAGGGCCATTACGGGTGCGTTGCGACCTTAAAGAAACCTCTTTACCTCTTTTTTGAAGAACCCCATGCTGTAGTCTCTTGGAAAAACCTCGACAAGGAGCTTATTCTATAACCTAAGTATTAGTGAAGGAAACATCTCTGAAATCGCGCTGTACGCGACCGTCCAGGTTCCAAGGCATAGTCGATAGCGAGCTGTTTCATTGCAGAAAGTGGCCATCATATTCAACAATTCCTTTGAGCATACATAGTTCGATATATTTTATATTAACATATACAGCTTGGGTTTATGTAACGTGTTTATCCTGAGGAATTATAGCAACACGTTAGTCAGTACGTTGACCGAATACACGTAAAAGACTATTCGACTTTCAGTTGTGCAATTGTCTTACTAATATAACAAAACTCTAACTAGACTATGTTTATACATGGGAGATATTTAGGAAAAACATTTATTAAACAAAGCCTATTACACACTAAACGGTTACTTGAATGACAAAAGTATATGGTATCAGCCGATCATGCATGGGCTTTTAACGACGATGTAATTTTAAACATAGTACATCAAACACACAAAATGTTAACAGAAATTTAAAAGAGCAACTGTTGAGTTTCTAGCGGTAGATTAAAAAAAATTACGATTTAAAGGTGCTTGTAAACAAGTCTATTTCAATAGAGATAATTGATTGAATTTGAATTTGATAAGAAATGAAGGGTCTTTATTAAACAAATAGAGGTGTAAATAATAATTTCTAGAAATTTTGTCAGTCTGGTCTGTCTGTATGTTGTTTCTGCAATACGCCAAAACAACTGCATCAAATAGATTGTAGTTTTCACAGTTGTGTTTCAAAAGGTATAGACCTTGTAAAGGTATAGGCTATGTAGAACTGATTAGTTTTCCCACTTCTGAAATCTAGACGTACCAAGTAGCAGGCCAAACCATGCTTTTAATGTAGAAATATTTTTTCTTCTCTTTGCTACTGTTAGAAATAGAAATAATTTTTCTGCATCAAACTATATCAGGTAGGTTTTCAGCTTGTTTGCAGTAGTAACCGTCGTCTATAGACATAACAGAGTACACTGTTTCGCTTATGACTCCCCTCATATGTTGCCATTCCTGAGGATTTAGGTGTTATTTCTCTGTACCCTGTGAATTCACTATCATATCCATACCCTTCAAACCGAAACAGCCATGCAAACTCAACTGCTTCATGGTAGAAACACGAATGGGACAGAGGTGCCCAGGCAAACGACTTTTATACAAAGTTGTCCTCTGGTGGTTTTGATGTCCTCCTGATATCTAAAGATTTATTTGAAAGAAAAATAAGAAAGTATTCATTAGATATTGATGTGACAATATGAAGATTAATATATATTTGCTACATTTGTTACTCAGTAGGCAATAAAATAAATATATGTTGACATTTCGATAATAAAATTGCCGTAGCATGTAGACTATAAATATGGACATTTCTAGTAATTGGCAGCAAATAATAATTTTATATTTTACTGCACATACTGTACATTTACTTCGAAAAAATCCCCCACATAGTGTTTAAATAGTCCATAGAGCTTATGATGTTAGTCGTATTAGGTAATATAATAAATGGGAAAGTTTGTAACAACGGATGGATGCATAAACATGCAAAAACTACTAAACGGATTTGAATGCTATATGGATAGGTTATATTCTAACTTAGTATATAATATACTTTATATACTGATTAAGGCAGATCGAACCGTAGGATGCTGCTAGTATTAAATAATAATGTTTTAAATTACTGTCAAAATCAGAATTCTCTATTGTTTTCTCAAACCGAATTTGTCTGATTTTTTTTCTTGTAAGTGTATAACGTGGTTATGTGTTATTCGGAATTAATTTTTTAATATTTAAAAAATAGCATTTACTTTCATGTTTTAATAAAACGGAATGGTAATCCCACCTGCACTAATGGTGTATATTGGCAGAGTATCAGTGAAGTATAATAAGTTAGGATAAAAAAGCCGTTCAGTTAGCCTATTGTAATGAATTCACCTAGAATTAAGCACAATGGTTTCTAGAAGAAACCGCATGAGTTCGACCTAACAGTGTATATATAGCTAGCAGCAATGGGGCTGCTAGATCTCATTGTTAACAATCCCTTCCCCTCTTTTAATCCCGTGTTGGATCCATACTAATGATTGAATTTGCAATATTCTTGGTGCAGCAAAAAACTGTTGCGAAGCAGCCTGAATTAAAATATTGTAAATTTACATTGTAAGTTATCTACGTAACGTCTCATCATTTATCGGTGTATGTATGTGAATTGAAATCACCTATTTTGCAAAGGAAAATGTTCTTGTTTCGAATAAATGCTAAATTTCGATTATTACTCGGATAAAATCGCCAGCGCAGCTAGCAACAATGCGTCTGTAACATAGAAAATAATAATAATGATGATAACAATGCACGGTAAGATGTTTATTATTTAATGTTCGAGGTTGATAACAATATTAACTATAATAACATTCGGACATCGTTTCACTGTGGAAATATTCTGCCGTCTGCTTTCTACCGACACGTTCAGCTGGCGCAGATAAATTTCGCTGTTGTTACCAAAGGTACAATAATTTTTCTTTTAAAATTTATTATTTGCTATTTTTATATTTTTTGGTAATATAAATTTATATTCTCACAACTATAATCGCTAATGGGGTAGTAAGATGCATCTGTGAAGAGTTGTCGTTGAAGAGAACGTAACAGAATTTAAGAGAATTTAAGGCAAAGTCCACTACTGCACCGGCGTTTAATTTGGTTTAAAATAAATTTATTCATAATAAATTTTGAAAATAATAATATATAACGAATATTAAATCGTCCGCTGTAATTTAAATATACAAAGTAATGCTTCTCAAATAGTAGTTTGAGTTTAATTTTATTCGAGATTTTACAATTCTATTCCATATCCATTTATTAGAAATGTAAAACATGATGTCCACAAAATAGTTATTTACCTTGGTTATTTATAATCATTGCATGTAGACATAGACTTTAAATGTACCTATAGTATATTTTCATTGTATATCTAGATTTTCAATCGATTTCGTAAAGGGAGTTCTCAAATCGTCTGTAATTTTTATGTATATGTGAATTTGACGATTCTTTTACTAATAACTAGAGATACGAGAATATTATTTTGGTGCTATATTTATTACGATTGAAATCCTTTTTTTTCTACCTGCAAATGTGTCCTTTAATTTTCAATTAATTATCGTATTATTATTCGCAAATATCGTTTTTGAGGACGAAGCATTAACTTCATTTTTTGACAATATTTTTAATTAAAAATGATAACGTACACAACGACACACATATGAATGTCGACTTTGATTTATGAACAATATTTTAATATTTTATGTAACTTTGTAAATTATAAAATATTAAAACATTGATGTTTTTGTTTATAATTAAAACTATAGTTATCAAGCAAGTAAAAAAGAGAAAACATTGACATTGAGTAATGAGAGCTTTATGATTTTTTGAGCTTTTTTAGAGTAATAAATAAATTGAACAAATGAAATTAGTTAATAAACTACTTTTTTCTATTTATTTTATATAAAATACTTATTGTTCCGATATCTTAACTAATTTCGAACCAGATTTCGAGATTTCTTTATTTAATTGAATGAATTAGAAGGGTTTAGTTCAATCCTGGTCTTATTCAAATTTTTACAAGGTTAAGGTTTTTCGATTTTTTTAAATTATGTTAGTTACTATTTGGTATTATCTGTTTATTTTTACATTTCGAAGGATGTTGAATCTAGGCTAAGCACTAGTTTTTATCGTAGACCGATGTTTCTGTTTAGTTAAATATTGCTTCGATAGTCATAATAGGCGTTCGAAAATTCAGGGGAAATGT